GTGTTTAAAAAAAGTAAAAACAAAAAAATTGTAATTAGGCCTTGAGATTATCGTCGCATTTGAGCTCGAAAATAAGCTCGGCATATGAGCTTGCACGTGTGGCGCGTCGGTCGAGATGAGTTAATAACCGGCTATAGCCTGTGACTTGCCGGTTACATAATCAGGATTCAACCCAAATCTTCAATCTCCTTTTAATTATTTTCCCCAGAGAAAAATAAAAAGTGTGAGAAAGAGAAAATCTCCGGTCCAAACCAAAAGAAACGCTTCACTTTTCTTTCATTTTCTCTGTTTGATTTGTCCCTCTTTGCTTTAATCACGAAACAAACAAACACTCACTAATCTAGATTTTGACCCAGAACCATTCTTCCTTAATTCTCACTAGTTTGTGAATTTCATCAACTGGGTCTTCTTAAATTCTCTTCCTTTTTTTCATTTGAGTGGTTTAATTTTCTGAAAAAGTCCAGATTTTTGGTAGCGGGTGGGGGAAGCTTTAATCATGTATTTATGATATTGCTGAATTATTGTTTAAAAGAAGTTTTTTGCTTTGTTCGGTTTTTTCTGGGTAAATTTGTCGGAAAATGCCGATGTTTCAGCCATATAGAGGCGATGGGTTTGATGGGCATGTCTTAGATCTAGGCACGGCGGTTAAAGACGGCGTTATCAGCGGCGGAGATGGGAAAAACGTGGTGGTTGTTGAGAAATTGGATTTGAAGAAGATGATTACAGAGCTTGAATTACCCGAAATACCCTCTGTTTTCATCTGTCCAATCTCTCTGGAACCGATGCAAGATCCAGTGACATTGTGTACTGGTCAAACCTACGAGAGGTCAAACATTCTCAAATGGTTCAATTTAGGACACTGCACTTGTCCAACGACGATGCAAGAGCTTTGGGACGATTTGGTCACTCCAAACAAGACGCTTCACCAATTGATCTACACTTGGTTTTCGCAAAAGTATGTTTTGATGAAGAAAAGATCCGAAGATGTTCAAGGAAGAGCGATTGAGATTTTGGGGACATTGAGAAAAGCTAAAGGGAAAGGTAAAGTTCATGCCTTGAGTGAGCTTAAGCAAGTTGTGTTGGCTCATGAAATCGCTAAGAAGACTGTTGTTGATGAAGGTGGAGTCTTTGTGATCTCTTCTCTTTTAAGTCCTTTTACTTCTCATGCTGTTGGATCTGAAGCTATAGCGATTCTTGTGAATCTTGAACTTGATTCTGATTCCAAACTTGGATTGATGCAACCAGCTAGAGTTTCTTTGATGGTTGATATGTTAAATGATGGTTCGATTGAGACTAAGATCAATTGTGCTAGGTTGATTGGAAAGTTGGTGGAGGAGAAAGGTTTTAGAGCAGAGCTTGTTTCTAGTCATAGTTTGCTTGTTGGATTGATGAGATTGGTTAAAGATAGGAGATGTAGAAACGGTGTTTCGCCTGCGTTAACGCTGCTTAAATCGATTTCGGTTCATAAACAAGTCAGGAGCTTGATGGTTATTGTTGGAGGAGTTTCTCAATTGGTTGATGTTTTGCCATGTTTGGATCCAGAGTGTTTGGAATCTGCTCTTTTCGTGTTGGATTCCTTGTGTTTAGAAGTCGAAGGAAGAATGGCTTTGAAAAATTCGGTTAACACGATTCCTAACACCGTTAGGTTAGTGATGAGAGTATCTGAGAAATGCACAAACTACGCGATTTCAATTCTTTGGTCAGTTTGCAAATTAGCTTCTGAAGAATGTTCACCTGTTGCTGTTGAAGTTGGTTTAGCTGCAAAGCTTCTGCTCGTGATCCAAAGCGGATGCGATCCAGCTTTGAAGCAGCGTTCCGCTGAGTTATTGAAGCTATGTAGTCTACATTATTCAGACACAATGTTTATTTCGAAATGTAAACTCACAAGAACAATCCAATGATAGAGACAACAATAAAGTTTTTACCTTTCGGGTCTAGATCGCGCAATGCACAAGAAAAAAAGACGTTTTATCGGTACATAGATCGTCAACAAAACGTATCTGCTCCATCTTCGGTTTTCAAGCTATTGGTACATTCAAAGGAGAAGCTTCTCCAAGGAGGATGAAACGCAGGAACGAGTTTGATCGGTGAATTAATGTGATTCGAATAAACGCTAAGAGAAGCAAATTGTATAAATCTTTTTTCTTGATTTTGGTCCATATTCAGTAGAAGAAGAGATTGAAGAAATGAATCAGTTTTTACGCATCTTTCTAGCTTATTAGCTTCTTCGGAGTCAATAGTTAGTATGAATCATTGTCTTGGTATATGAATTTGACAATCTTTGATTGAATATATAAAATGGTTGTCGTACAAGTAATTTATTGAAGAACAGTAGTATTAGATTTGTGGAGGGGATCAAAAGTCTTTTTTTTTTTTTAACATGCATTGGTCTGATTTGTTTCGCTGTGTGAAATGAACAATTGAAACGAAAGGGATGATTTGACAAGTGAATCGTTTTATTTTTTTTAACTGTTAACTGTTTGTTTGTTCAAGATGACACGTTTATTTCTGTTGTCTGCGAGACTGAACATATCTCCATGAACATTGTATCCACGAGTGAGTGATGTAATCACTGATGTGACTGAAAGCTCTTGTCTGGAAATAAAATCCAAACATTTATTTACCAATTTTGGAAAGAAAAAAAAAAGAGACTGTATGGGCTTTAAGATTATAAATGGGCCTTCGTTAAACTATATGGGTTTTTGTATTGGTCCAGTTATAATTGACGGTCAATCAAAACGACGTCGTCGCTCTAAATTGGAATCATCATAAAAACGACTTCGTTTTAAGTTAGTTTAAGATATTAATTTAAGATTGATTAAGACGGAGAGCTCTAATTATTTCTCGATGGTTACTTGCTTGGAGCTGTAAAAGATCACAATCGCAACTTCTGT